ATTGGGGCTCCCTCCTCCACAGGTCCATTGGGACCTGTTGGAATTTGGGATGCTTACTTGGTACCTACTGAAGAGCAAAAGATCCCTTATATTTAGTCTATTGTGGTTGACATAGATGTCTTTGCAGTAGAAAGTTGTTTGATTCCTAAGATAAACGGCTGTTCTGTGCTAACCAAGATTCCGAGTCTATGACTCCCTTCTTGCTCAATCCCAATAATTCTTGCCACGAAGCAGTGGAATGCGGTCTCTGACATTTACATAATGGCTCTATCAATATAAGAGTTCACAACACATGAAAAGTTACATTCAGGTAAATTTGCTTTGCTCTTGCAAGCTTCCCTAGCCCAAAATCTGACTAATTATGAAAAAGATGTGGGCGAAAGGAGTTATAGATATAGTACAGATAAACAATAATGTATCCGCAATATTTTGTCAATATATATTTCTTCAAATATTTGAAAGATTTCCAAACAGAAAAGGAATTCATTTTTATTCCACGTATATCCAAGGAATTATATAAAGCCAATGGATAAGATGAAAGTTATATGGATGATTTTGCTAGGTTATCCTTCTTAATTGTAAGGACTGAATTTTGTAGAAGTGTAAGGCTTTGGACTAATCTATTTATACACTGGCAAACAGAAGACCCTTTGAGAATTGTGGGGTGGTTGATTTGTACCTACTTTCTTCTCAGATGTTAAGAAAAGTTAATTCATCTTAACCCTCATTGATGCTGTTATTAGTTTCGATAATTGCTATCACTAGGCCACCTCAACTAGGCATTTTTCCCTCTGTTATTTCTTTTTAAGTGAAAATCTATTCTCATCTAGATGTCACTTGTCCAACAAAACATGTTTTGTTCATTCTTTGCAATAAACTGACCAATCACTTTTACAACAGTTTTAGCATTATTTATAATATTTGGTTTTTTTTTGGAAGATGTACTTTTCTCATGAGCCACACATCACTTGACTTAAAAACAGGCTTATTCTGACTGTTAGCTGTTTATTAAAAGTTTAGAAACTGCTATTGTTCTAAAAATATTTCTTTTATGTCATTTTTGTCCCTTTATTCCTAAATTCTTGATTATTTTGTGTCTGAGATTTTCCTGTACTTCAAATAAAGCCACTAAAAGGACATAAAAAGTAAATTAAGAAAACTGTTTTATATTTAATTTATATTTTATTCTTACAAATATATAATTATTATAGTTACATCATCATTGGTAAAATTAACTCACTTCAAGGTTCATATTTCATACTGAACCAACCTAACTTCCTTGTTATATTTAAGAAAGAAATCTCTCTCCAGTTTTAAAATTTTGGTAATTTGAGAATTTATCATCCAACAAAACTAGCCTATTGTAAATCAGAGATATAAAATCACCAAGCCTATGAAAAGTTGTGTCAAGCATGAAATTAATACTTCTGAGACACTTTTATGAGAAATATATTAAATCCAATAAGTTCATTTGTTCCAGAACCCTGCAGACGTTAGTGAAATAATTATAAATTTATCTCTTTTAACTAAATGGAAATGCTCACATTAACATTTCTTTGCTTATAAGTTTTATTATATATTATTGCTACATTTTTAAACTCTGCACATGATTAATTTGTTTTTACAAATCTTGTTTTCCTGGAGTATATATAATTATATCATATTCTATATTACAAATTTTTCATTCTTTATTATATCACTTTAATTCTAGAACTTCAAACGTTTCATTGGACTGTGCTTTCACTGCTTATAATATGTGACATACTATTGGTGTAAAAATCCATCTTGCCCCCTTAATTATAATAACAAGTTAAAACTAAAATTCTCTAAAATTTCGTTTTTTCTTTTTTTATTATTTGTTCCTTTTTTGGTCTTTTTTCTTTTATTTTCTTGCTCACATATACAAAGCAATTATCTACTTTATAACCTATATTTTTATTTTAGGCCAATTCCAGGAAAACTCAAAGTAAACTATGATATTCCTTTATTCATATGACCAATAATTACTGATTTTCTGGCTTATGCACTTAACGTATAGTTTCTAATTTGAAGTTTTTTTGAAATACGCATTATTTGAGTTTTAAATATGTTATATGCATGATTCTATGTTCAAATCCATGTAGGAGGACACCATGGAGTGAAACGTGGACTCTGCAACTAGACTCTTTGGGTAAAAATTCTTTTTCTGATGGAGTAAACTGAACCCCATCCATCTTCAGGTTCTTATTTTAGCATGGAAATAATAATATTACCTTCTTCAAAAGAAAAAGAAAATATACATTAAAACTTATATTTTATATAAATATATAACTGTGTATATATAAAACTATATATAATTGTAATTTCATAATTAAATATATAACATTTTATATTTTATAAATTTATATGTGACCATTATAGTACATATTTACATATTATATTTATTAACATACTTCAAGTATTATTAATTATAATATATATTTCATATATATCAAGAATGCTTGGAATGGTATATATATTTATATGATACATTTTTATATTATATATATAAGCGATTCTTAGGATGAAATAATAATGAGTATTAAATGCATTTTAACTATAATAATACTTTCTTTTTTTCTTTGATTTCACCTTTTTTACTTCCTCTTTCTTGCCTTACTCCTTATCCTCGTCCAAGCACATAAATCTTGGACAAATAAAGTTGCATATAAATCTGCCTTTGTGGTACAAAAATAAAATATAGCATAAATTAAAGGATATATTTATGGCACATTAAAATAACCTTAGACGCTTACAACTTCTTTTAAGAATAAACACCTAGTACAGTTAGTCACCAGTCAGCCTTTTAAATAAAGACTACTGCAGGTTAGACTCGCAAATAATATTTTTAAAAAGGAAAATAAAATACAGGAGAGAAATGACCATGTCCTGTCAACATTTTATAACTCTTTCAGCTTCATTGTGTGTTTTATTTCTTCCTAGTTATGAGAGGCACACACGGAGTTGGCCATTAAAGACCCTTGTTTCCTATTGTTCATGCGCTTGTGTGACACCCATCCCTTGAGTGAGGCTAAACTTACTGACTCATCTCTAATAAACAAAATACTACGAAAGCGTTACTATGTCTTCTCTAAGATTAGATTACAATCAAAGCTTGGTTTCTTGCTTGCCTTTTTTGCTTTCTTGCCCATTGAGGGAAGTCAGCTGTCATGTTTTCAACTGGTGTAAGACAAAGACTGATGATTCTGGGAATCAGCCAGCAAGGATCTGCTAACAGCCATGTGTGTGAATGTGTAAGCCAATTTCCCAGTTGAACTTTAAAACGTTTGTAGTGAGAGCTAACACCACGATTGCAGCTCAGTGAGAAATCCTGAGCCAAAGGCGTCCTTAGAAACTATGAAATAATAAATATTTGCTGTTTAAGCCAATAAGCTTTGGAGTAATTGTTGGATGGCAATGGATAACTAATATATTAACATCGTGTCTTTTTGGCACTGATTAGCACACAAGTTCATAAAAGGGAAAGATTCCGTGTGCTTTTCTGCAGGCGAAGTGACTAATATAAGGTAGAAAGATTAGGATGACTTCTTGGTAGGCTACTTGGAACAGACTCACAGTAAGTGCATCATGAAATCGCATAGTGGGGTACAAATGTGCTTTTAGTTTAAATGTGGACTTAATTAAAAGGGAAGTAATTAGAATACTATGCTATAGGATAAAATGGAAATAAATGGAAGAAAATAAAATAGGAGATAATGGAATAGGAAATGTCCTCTTGTTTGCAAGTAATGAAGATTAAGTATTGGCTGTGGGGTGTGTGTGTGTGTGTGTGTGTGTGTGTGCGTGCGTGCGTGTGCGTGTGTGTATTAGAGTTCCTAAGAACATGCACAGGTTCAGTGAATTGCTGGAGGAACCTCAGTACTCAAAACTCACAGCTATAATTTATTAATCTCAAAATTAATGAATGAATTAATCTAAAAGATGTGAAGGCTGAATTTTTAAGAATATAGGCGTAGAATTCCTCTATTTTCCTCAACCCCCTTCCCCATTACACAAATACAGATGTCACACATCATGAGGTTCTTTCTTCAGCAGCAATATACAACCACACATGCGCCATATTTCTACCCAGAAATACCTGGGTGTGTCTGAGTCCAAGGTTATTATTAGGGGGCCAGTCATATAGAAGCCGAAACCAGCCATAACTATTGGAATTTCAGACTTCAGGAAGGAAAAGAGGCGTTCAGCAGCCCAGCTTGGGAAGTACAGCCAGGTTCCAGGCTGCTATCCAAGGGCCAACCCCACAAAGGCAGTTTTTGAAAGTAGCTACTTCAGACCTGCTGTGTTAGTTCCTTCCCCACCCAGTACCTGTCTACAATTGTACACTGTTTACATTCGCATACTGCAAAATGGCCCCAGTGTATGTTATTCCCCTCTATGTGGCCATGTGTTCTCGTCACTCAGCTCCCACTTATAAGTGAGAACAGGAAGAATTTGTTTTTCTTTTCCTGCATTAGTTTGCTAAAGATCGTGTCCTCTAACCGCATCTATGTTCCTGCAAAGGACATGATGTCATTGACTTTTATGGCTGTATAGTATTCCATGGGATTTTTGTATCACATTTCCTTTATCCAGTTTTCTGTTGACAGGCATTTAGGTTGATTTTATGTCTTTGCTATTGTGAATAATGCTCCAAGAAACATACATGTGTATGTGTCTTTATAATAGAACAATGTATATTTCTTTGGGTATATATCCAGTAAAGGGTCAAATGGTATTTCTGTCTTTTGGTCATTGAGGAATTGCCACAATGTCTTTTCCAATTATTGAACCTAATTTACACTCCCCCAAACAGTGTGTAGCTGTTCCTAAAGAAATAGATACAAGGGGAAATAAGACTGGGCATGGTGACTCACACGTGTAATTCCAGCACTTTGGGAGGTTGAGACAAGTAGATTGTATGAGCTCAGGAGTTCAAAACCAGCCTTGGCAACGTGGCAAAATGCCATCTCTACAAAAGATACAAAGGTTGGCCAGGTATGGTGGCATGTGCCTGTAGTCCCAGCTACTTGGAGGCCGAGGTGAGAGGATCAATTGAACCTGGCAGGCAAGGATGCAATGAGCTGTGATTGCACCACTGTACTCAAGAATGGGTGACAGAGTGCAACCTTGTCTCAAATAAATAAATAAAAACAACCAAAAAAAGATAAAATAAGTGATAATTGATTAAAAATTATTTTCTGAGAAATTCAGTTAATCCAAATGTTAGAAAAATATTAGCTAGACATTACCAGAAGTAGTAGAACATTCAGATTTCATAGAATTCATTTTTTTTTAATTTTTAAAATTTTTTACTATTATGCTTTATGTTCTGGGGTACATGTGCAGAACATGCAGGTTTGTTACACAGGTATGCATGTACCATAGTGGTTTGCTGAACCCATGAATCCATCACCTACATTAGGTATTTCTCTTAATCTTATCCCTCCCCTAGACCCCATCCCTCCGCAGGCCCTGGTGCCTGATGTTCCCCTCCCTGTGTCCATGTGTTCTCATTATTCACCTCCCACCTGTGAGTGAGAACGTGCTGTGTTTGGTTTTCTGTTCTTGTGTTAGTTTGCAGAGAATGATGGTTTCCAGCTTCATCCATGTCCCTGAAAGGGACATGAACTCATGATTTCTTATGGCTGCAGAGTATTCCATGGTGTATATGTGCCACATTTTCTTTATCCAGTCTATCATTGATGGGCATTAGCATTGTTCCAAGTCTTTGCTATTGTGAATGATGCTGCAAAAAACATACGTGTGCATGTGTCTTTATAGTAGAATGATTTCTAATCCTTTGGGTATATACCCAGTAATGGGATTGCTGGGTCAAATGGTATTTCTGGTTCTAGATCCTTGAGGAATCACCAAACTGTCTTCCACAATGGTTGAACTAATTGACACTCCCACCAACAGTGTAAAAGTGTTTCTATTTCTCCACATCCTCTCCGGTATCTGTTGCTTCTTCACATTTTAATGATCACCATTCTAACTGGCATGAGACGGTATCCTAATGTGGTTTTGATTTGCATTTCCCTAATGACCAGTGATGATGAGCTTTTTTTCATACGCTTGTTGGCTACATAAATGTCTTCTTTTAAGAAGCGTCTGTTCAAATTCTTTGCCTACATTTTGATGGTGTTGTTTTTTTTCTTGCAAATTTGTTTAAGTTCTTTGTAGATTCTGGATACTAGCCCTTTGTCAGATGGATAGATTACAAAAATTTTCTCCCATTCTGTAGTTTGCTGTTCACTCTGATGATAGTTTTTTTTCTTTTTTTCTGTGCAGAAGCTCTTTAGTTTAATTACATCCCATTTGTCAGTTTTGGCTTTTGTTGCTATTGATTTTGGTGTTTTAATCATGAAGTCTTTGCCTCTGCCTATGTCCTGAATAGTATTGTCTAGGTTTTCTTCTTGGGTTTTTATGATTTTAGGTCTGACATTCAAGTTTTTAATCCATCTTGAGTTAATTTTTGTATAAGGTGTAAGGAAGGTGTCCACTTTCAGTTTTCTGCAGATGGCTAGCCAGTTTTTCCAGCACCATTTATTAAATAGGGAATCTTTTCCCCATTGCTTGTTTTTGTCAGGTTTGTCAAAGATCAGATGGTTGTAGAAGTGTGGCATTATTTCTGAGGCCCGTGTTCTGTTCTCTTGATCTACATATTTGTTTCGGTACCAGTACAATGCTGTTTTGGTTACTGTAGGCTTGTAGTATAGTTTGAAGTCAGGTAGTGTGATGCCTCCAGCTTTGTTATTTTTGCTTAGGATTGTCTTGGCAATGTGGGCTCTTTTTTGCTTCCATATGAAATTTGAAATCATTTTTTCTGTGGAAAAAAGTCAATGGGAGCTTGATGGGGAAAGCATTGCTTCTATAAATTATGGCCAAATAGAAACAGCTCTGGTCTGCAGCTCCCAGCGAGGTCAACACAGAAGTCGGGTGATTTCTGTATTTCCAACTGTGGTACCTGGTTGATCTCATTGGGACTGGTTGGACAGTGGATGCAGTCCACAGAGGGCTAGCTGAAATAGGTTGAGGCCCCACCTCACCCGGGAAGTGCAAGGGTTCAGGTAGCTCCCCCTAGCCAGAGTTAAGTTTATAATGATTTATATCAGAATCAAGAATGTACACAACATATCATACTGGTCCTCTGCTTAATAAATAAAAACAATTTAAAAGGTTAATCAAACTTATAATCAGGGGCAATAACACGGAATGAATCTTGAGACTAAAAGTTTCACAAAGTAAGAATAAGTCACTCCTAAGCAAGAATGAAAGATTGCTTGATCAAGGACTCAGAGT